GTCCCTCCTCCAGCAGAACATCTTGTGGATTTGAACCACACGACTCTGGTATTGCAGTGCAGCTTCTTGCCACTAGGCCACCAGAGCTCCCCTCCGTGAGGCGTTCTAAGAGAACATTTCAGACATCAAGAACAAAGGCTGCCTATAAACAAATGAATGGATAGAGAAGCTGTGGTGTATTTACACAATGGAATTCTATGCTGCATTAAAAAACAAGGAACTCATGAAATATTATACAAAATGAAGTATCTCAGCACAAAAAACAAATACTGCATAGTGCCACTGTTGTGACATCAGGCTTGGGGGAGGAACCTAAGAAAAGAGGAGATAATTCATTGAAACAGATGAGGGAGAGAACTTTTTAAAAGGAATGTAGGATTAGGTATTATTTTCATGACAAGATTCCAGAAAAAGAAACACATAGTGGACTGGACTGTGGACTTGGGATGGGGGATTGTACAACAACGAAAGAATTTTTTTTTCAAAGATAAAAATGAACTGGGCGGGGCAGGGAGGAAAATGTGCAACAATGAATGAATGGGGAGAAAATGAAATGGAAGGAATATGCTGTAAAAAAAATGTTGCATTTAAAAAAATCATTAATTTAAAAAAGGGGAGGGGGGAAAGGACGAAAAGAAAAAAAAGAACAAAGGCTGAGGTGGGAGTGCACCTAGATGGGCTGTCAGTGCACGGTGAGGCTGGGAGAAGGCGGTGAGCGGGAGATGACTCAGAGAAGGCGCAGGTTATGTGAGGAGCCACCAGGCCTTTCCTCTGACTCACCTTAATGAGCTTCCCAGAGGTGGGGAGAGGGACTTGAGCTCTATTGCCCAGGGGTAAACCGAGTGGTGAGGGTGCCGAAGGTGCTCAGCCCCATCAGGTTAGGGTCAAAGCCTGCTTGCGTCAAGGTGCGGTGGCTTCCAAAGGCCAAGAACGTGGTGGGGCCAGGAACTACATACAGCTTGGCTTGAACCACTGGGCAGCCAGGGCGTGGACGCGGCTTCAGCACCGCGGACAGCGCCAGGCGTTGCCTGGAAACCGAGATGCAGCTGCCTGACAGCTCTGAATGGGCTAGGGGGACTGCTTGGGCAGAACCTATGGGGCAGGCACTTCCCAGCAAGATCTGCTGGATAGTGAGCATTTAACACCGGAAGCCAGCAGAGGGAGAGGCCTGCACAAGAAGCCACAGCCAGCGGGATTGAGGTTCATACCTTATTTGATGCTGCCTAGAGAAGGCCAACTAGAAAGAAGCTCCACGGTAGGCATGGAATTTTCTACTAGGCACTCTGCTTGAGTAGAATGTGGCTGTAAGCTTTCATAAAGACAGCCTTGGAAACGCCACGGGACAATTCTACTCCATATAATGTTCTAACTATGCACAGCCATGGTAATAGATGCCTTATGGAAGGGGTGCTGTCTAGACAGGAAGGTGGATTACTGGAAATGTCAGGAGGACCCTGAGGCTCCGGGTCAGGGATACAGCCAGTTCCAACACAATTCCGTGTTGCTCCATGATTTACAGCCTTGGAAATGCACTGGAGGATGAGCATCAAAACGCTAGAACCCGGTCATTACGGCTCTGGTCTAAACTGCAGGCGTTAAGAGGGTTGTATTGATGAGAGGGGTGTTTTATCACCCTCAAAGCAGTGCCAAAATTGCATCATCCTGGTGCTTGCTGGTGGGGAGCCGTGAAGCAGGACAGCATTGTGACCAGGGTCTTCTCATCACCCATTGGCCTGAGGCGAAGGGATGCCCCTCCTGGCCATTTTTCTCATTATAATGACCCCCCCCCCAGGTCCAAAACAGTAGCTCTGAAACTCAAGGCCACTTGGTCTCCTGGCCCCCCTCCCTTCGTTTCGTGTCCAATAGCCGAGGCAGCTGTTCTGAAGCACAAACCACTGGGAGCCTCCATAAGCCTGAGAACGGGGTATAGGGATCCCTGGTGTGGTCAGTGGGGAGCTGGCTGCTAACCCAAATGTGGCACCTCTTCGGCAGAGAGAAAGCTGCTCTCCCTGTGGACTGTCAGTCCACCTCCCTCGGTGAACCGTGTGTGTAGAACTGTGCTCCCTGGGATTCTCAGCGGCTGGTTTCTCTATAGTGTCACCTGGTATTTCTTCCGAGTCACTTGCAGTTTTTCAGTTTGCAAACACATGAACAGTTTTCATCAGCCAATAAACACATGTTGAGCAAGACAAAACAATGAAGTGTCCATTTTATTTGGGATGAGTTAGAAGGAGTCTCCATGCTCCCAACTGCCTAGCATCTGGGCCTGCAATCGGCCCAGCACACCACGCTCACACCGAGGGTGGACAATGGAGGGCCAGGCTGGTGACCTGCAGCGCTCTCGCGGGTAGAGTAGGCACAGCAGACTGCACTCAAGTGACCAGGGTTCTGAGGGAAGGCGCTGCCCTGCCAGGGACGATCACGAGCAGAGTCCTGACAAACCCAGAGTCTGGCTCCCCCATTCAACGCGCTGGTGGCAGTCTCAGTACTTGCTCCCTGGGGAAAAGCCCAAATTTCCTGCAAGACTCTGACCCTCCCTACTCAGAATCTTTTTCTAGCAATAATCTTATCCTAGGTTGTTGACCTCTGTGACCTACCATCCCCTTCTGACCGTTTCTAGAGGCAGCAAGCATGCTTGGGAAGGCTCTCAACTTAGAAGACAGACTCATCAGCCCCTACAGAGGTCTGTGAGCTCAAAAACTTGGAGCTCACTCCAGTGCTGGCTACCAGGGCACAAGGGGCTGCCACTGCCTAGCAAAACCTCTCTCTACACCACAGTCGGCTGACTTGGTAGCAGTACTGTGCCCCTAGGAGCTGCGAGTCTGACCTTGGAAATGGGATCTTTGAAATGTAATTATCCCAGGATGAACTTGGCCTGGACTCTGTCCTTTTGTAAAAGGAGACAGGACTTCTGGGAGCCGTCTGCCAAGGACCACCTGTGGACAGCAGCAGCAAGAAACCCAGAAGCAGCAGCCTTACACACTCTACTGGGACTGTTTCTATGTGGCAGCTGTTTACAACGTCCTAGGAAATCCCTTAGACAGCACGTCCATTAACTTCCGAGGGGAGTGTGACCACTTCCTGGCACTGCACTCTGCCTGAATGCCCTTCCAGACCGACGCCCTGGACAGGGAATCTGCTCAGCCAAGCTCCCAGCACACCTCTCATACCCAGGACAGAGCCTCCGGGGTGGAGACTTATGATGGGTGGTCTTCTCTGCTCGACTACTCTGGCAGGGGTGACCAATACACCTGCTTCTGCCTGTCTCCACTTTAAAATGCGCTCGTGTCAGTGGCGGCCACACTGGGAAACGTAGGTAAGAGGTGTAATGAAGAATACTGACGCTCAGTCCAGTCTGAAGGGATCTGGCAAGGATGGCACATCCTGCTCCCCAGTTCCCACCTGGGTTCCCTTCATGGCCTCTAGCCTCAAACACGAAGTGCCTATCCTGGGGTGGTGGGCGTGTCTTGGACACTGCCCCTTAGACTGCAGGGTGTGTCGGACGGTCCAGGGTTCTCATCTGCGGACCCTTGCTCAGCTCTCGAGCCCCTGCTTCGCTGTGCGCTGGGCCCCCAGGAGATTATTCTGCTTCTCTCCAAGGTGGCAGACCTCCTCCTTAGAAGGCACGCTGCATCAGCTGCTGCATCGGCGAAGTGATCTGGGTGTGCCTCACTTCCGAAGGCTGCACTAACCAAGAATCGGGGCAGAGCCTGGTCTGAAAGTGGAGAGGTCGCTCCGAGGTGATAGGCAGCTAGCAGTCTGGCAGCACATCCCACAGAACAGCCCAAAGCACAAAGGTGCAGTCAGTCCCAGGCCTGGGGAAAGGTTAATCCAAATGCCACTGTCCGTTCTCCCGGCGATCAGAGTGGAGAGATGCTCCGTGCCGGGGTTTCTCCTCCACACTGCGGACATTTTGACAGGACAGTTCCGGTGGCGAGGGGCACCTGCTCTAGATGCCAGGCACTCCCAGCTGTGGCCATGGGCTCCTGGGGACAAAACTGCCCCAGAGTGAGCACTGACAGCGTGAGCTCTGGCCAGAGGTCTCGTGTGCGGAGGAACACGGCTGCGGCTGTAGCACAGGCCCATCACAGCACAGGTGGACAGCAAGCCTGAGCAACAAGGCCCATCTCAGCGTCGCCTAGATTCAGGGCCGCTCAAGCCAACCTTCTTTTGCCCTTCAAGTCAGATCACACCCACCACAGGAGAGCAGACCGTGGGGGTGTGAACTGCATGCAAAAGCACAGGGGTGCAGGAAGCAGTGTGTGCGCCTGAATTCTGTGCCCAGACCTCAAAAGCTACCCTGGTGCTGGCCCTCACCAGCCTTGGAGTGGAGCATCCACAGGCCTCTGTCTCCTGACTAGGGGCTACACCCCTCAAGTGTACCCCAGCCCGCCTTCCCAAGTGGGACTGAGCTGAGGGCCCTGCCCGTGACACTGTCGGGGTCAGAAGCCCAGGCCCACGACGGGCAGTTTTCTTTTTCTTTATTTGTCTACATTCAGCTTAATTCAGATGTGCTGCCTGAATGAGCCAGACATACAAAAAATCCCCACTCTTGCCCACTGTTTTTTTTTTTAAAATAAAATCTTCACTTATAAAACTGAAACACTAAAGCATTAAAATACAGAAAGCTCGTTTAACTCACTTCACAAAAGCATTAACAGATGCTGCATCCCTTCTGTAACTATTTAAAGACAAACCGAGCCAACACGAACACCAACTGTAAATAGACAGAGGGATACTCAACTGCAAGAACTCAAACACTAGTTGGACAGATGGTGATGGTAACTAACAAACCATTGAAGACACGGAGTCCTGAACACGGCTAAATATGGGTCACAGGACGGGCCACCTGGGTGGCCAGCTGCACCTCACAACACAGCGACGTGGAACCAGGGGGAGGGTGGAAGGGCCTGTTGACATGTTAACTGTGATGCAGAAAACGGAATCTTCCGATGGGGTGGAAGTGGAGATGGTGCAATCTTCCCCCCGCGGGGAGAGGTTTATCTGTACTGGTAGTTCATGCTGTGATCTGCGTTTCTGCCATAGCTTCCCTGTGATGACTGGTAGGAGCTGGGAGGGCCGCTGTAGTTCTGGCTGGACCCGGGGGAGTTGTAGTTTGACTGTGACGAGTAACCTCCTAGAAGAGAGAGGTGTGGTCAGAGGGCACAGCAGGGGCGGCCTGGCCGCCACGCCTACCCAAGCCCCCTTCACTCTCCTGTCACTCCAAGCATGAGACACGGTGAGGCCCTGATCTGACTACACTCACTCTGCAGGAGCTGGAACTCAGCTCCTTGACCAGGAGACTAAAGGTCTGTGTCACCTGTCAGTCACGTGGCCTTAGCACTGCAGGGGCCACCACAGGAAGGGGGGTGACATTGGGAACAAAGTCTGAATTCCTGGCTTTTATCAACAAGCTGGTGGGGTACCCCCACATCCCCTGCCCCGATCACAACCACTATGAAGACAAGAGCTAGAGGTCCCCACAACTCCACCCCTGGGTGCTCTGCTCACACGTGACATCAGTGCCAACTGCACCCCCGGGCTGACCCACCTGTGGCTCCAGGCCCACCTTGTTTGCCTTGATACGAGGAGCCGCCCCCAGAACCTCCACCGTATCCTCCGTGTGATCCTGGGTTGTAGGAGGACCCGCCAGAGCCATAGCTGTTCCCGCCACTTCGGCCTCCACTCCCGCTATAACCTGGGGGGAAGAGAAGCCGGCGTGGTTACTGGGCCTGGGTAGAAGCAGGACCTGGGCTTTTGTGGGGCTACATCTGCCTGTCCTGACTGCTTAATCCAGACAGGTTGTTCCATTCATGAGAAAAGGCAGGCAGGTGCCACAGGATCACCCCACCGAAGGTCAGCAGAGCTGCCCCTCTCTCCAGCCCACACCTGCTCCCACCCCCACAGCTCAGCATCCTCCAGGTCCCCCGCCTCGACGCTGCCGCTGCTCTATCAGAAAGACGAGGTGAAAAGCGACGCTTCCTGGGCAGGCCAACAGTGAAGCTCTGGTCTGCGGGGCCTGTGCATGAAGCAGAGGGAGAAGTGGGCTGGGGATTCGAGTGAGCCCATCAAGGCTACCACTCAGGCTCTTCAGGGGCGGGAGGCAACACTTCTGAGAGCTGTCATCCAGCCGGTTCCCCACCTGGGGAGGGGCAGTAAGACTGAGGCCTTGGGGATCCTGCCCCAGGATTTTCTCAACACCCTACCCGTGATGAACACGCCTGTCCTAGTCCCTGTGCCAGGTCTGGCCAGTGCTGGGCCCTGGGAAGTCAACTCACTGAATTTGCTCTCATAGTTGTAGTCGGAGCCGCCGCCGCCGCCGCCCCCGGGGGAGCTGTAGGAGTTGGAGTAGGACGAGTAGTTGCCTTGACCATGGCTGTAGCCTTTCTGCTTGCTCTGCGGGGGCCCGTAGCTGCTGTACTGGCTCTGACTGTAGGACTGTTGCTGGCCTTGGTGAGACTGATAGCCAGAGCCGTAGGAAGGCTTCTGCTGGCCCCCGTGCGGCTGCTTCTTCCCTGTGTGTTTTGGGGGCACTGGGGAGTTGTAGTTGTCACCTTGGTAGTAGGAACCGTAGCCAGAGGAGCCACCACCGCCCCCGCCGCCACCGCCACCGGCATTCCCAGAATGCCCTCCGTTGCTGTAGAACTGACCTAAACAGGAAGGCAGTGGGTCAGGTGGAATCCAGGAAGGGTGGGGGGTGGGGAGGACAGGCGAAGTCACAGCTGTGGGTCCTGAAGGCTGACCCACGGCACCTGCCCAGGTTGGGGCAGTCGGGCACCCCAGCTGCTCCATCCACAGGTTGCTGCCCACGGCCGCGGGGAAGGAGGAGAGCAGTGGCTCTGCTCGTCACAGCAGCCTGCAGAGGCCAGCCCAGCCTTCAGCTCACTCACCCATCAGCTGATGACAACACTGGATCTGTGCCAAGCAGCAGGCAGCACGCCGGCAGCAGCAATCGCAGCGGATGTCAACATGACAGAGAGATGGAATCCGAGCGCTGCATGACATTCATGACTAGCTGACTGCTACCCAGATGTCCCCGACGGTGACAGGAAAAGCAAAGCCCCGCGCAGCTGGCCGCTCCCCCTCCCCCGACTGTGCTGGGAAAAGGCTCAGCAGCCACAGGCTCGGGTGGCAGCCCTGGAGATGCGCTCACCAGGCTCCGAGCACCAAGCACTCTAGATCACCAACGGGTTGGACCCAGTTCTTGGAAAAACAAATTGAGATTTGGCCAAATGACCCGTGGTTCTCCCTGGTATCGCCTGTGCACACACGTGACTCAAAAGAGGGCACCAAACCTCTGAGGGAAGGGAGAGCAGGTGAGCTTGGAAGCAGGAGGTCCAGGACAGGACCTGAGCTACACCAGGCGCCGCCCAGAGGCCCATCCTTGTTCCCAGCACAGCTGCTGGGCGCGGGCCGGACGAAGCAGCAGGACTGACAAGCGTGCAGCGAGGCCGCCACATTCTCAGGCCTTGAAACTGAGAATGTCACGGTGGAGAGCCCCCTTCACTTCTGGTCACCAGGGGGATGACCCTAGGATACACGTGTCAGCACAACGCCCACCCTCACCAGAGACTCGAGTCGACTGACGGCAGAGAGGAAGGGTCAAGTCATGCTTTCCTGGGAGCCTGACTAGGGAGCCCCTTCCCCTCTCCTCCGGAGCAGCCTCAACAAGGGTGGAAGAGGCTGGAGAAGAGGAGAGCGGCTGTGTAGCTGCTGCCCTCCACTCCAGACGGGCAGTCCCCAGGCAGAGAGGGGCGGTGGAGCTGCTGGGCCTCCTGGAGAGGTGGCCTGAGCACCCAGCCACCTTTGCCAGGTCGTGCTGGCTCTCGTCGGCCCTGTTGCTCCACACAGCCAGTCCTTCCTTCCCCAGCGCACAGACCAGAGGGCTAGGCCTCCAGGGTGCCCCGTGCCCCCAGCCTGAAACATGCACTCCACACTGGGATGGCCAGGATTAGGAGACCTGCTCAGGGGATTTTGCTTTATGGTCTTCAGGCACCCCCTCCCCCATCACAAAGCCAAAACACCAAGGACGTGTCCACAATGCAAGAAAGCACCATGCAGAGGTCCAGTGAGGAGACTGGAGGACAGGAGGGTCCTGCTCAGGTTCCCCGAGCCCCCTGACCTCCATGGCCCAGCACCCCACACTAAGCCCCATGGCTGAGCAGGCGCTTCCACCGCCCCCTCTTGAAGCACAGGAATGAAGACACCGAGGATCAAGGGCTTGTTACTTTAACATGTATTGATTAAAAAAAAATAAAGGGTAGGGGGAGCTTTCAACGTCATTCAGGATACTATTTCCTGGTATCAAAAGACATTATTCTCAAACAATAACTTTCTAAAAAAAAAAGAAAAAAAAGAAAAAGGGAAAAAAAGTACATCATGCAAGAAAAATATTAAAAAGTGTCACTGAATGTTTCAAACCCCTGGAAACAAATTTTGTAGTAACCATTTCGACCAGTTTTTGCCTGAATAAACGCAAAATCTTGCAAGTCAACGCAGAGGCAGGCTTTCTTGCAAACATAAGAACAAAAGAGAAAAAAAAATTGTGGATCAGATCCAAAATCTTACACATCTCCACCAGGATTCCCACCAGGAAATGGGATCTCTGTTAAGGTCAAAGGTCCCTGTTGGCGCACAGAAGCCAGGCTCGGCGTCCCCTCAGCTGAAGAGGGCAGCGATCCCAGCTAGTCTGGAGTCTGACGGGGGCTGCTGCCTGCCGACTCCTCACTGGGAGAGGGGCCACAGACCAGGCTCCTTCCACTTGAGAAACAGTTCTTAAAGCCCCATTTGAACAAGAAAAATCCAGAATCGCATGCAATTGCAGCTGTGATTAGGACTTGCAAAATTTCACGTTCTCTACTTCTTACAGCCTGTCGATTTCTTGCACTAATAATGGAAGCACAGTTTTTGATACCTTTGAGAGTTCAAGTTCACTCTCCAGCTAAACCAGCCACAAAATATCGCATCCCCAAACAATAACCCACCAGAGCATTTACAAAAGGGAGGAGAGGCTAACATCATCTCCAGCTCCCCAGTGTTTTACATGCATGTAAAGAGAAAAGCCCATTACTTTAGACTCAGATGTGATGAAATAGTTTTCATTACTGTCAAAGGCATCAACCAGAATTGGGATTTTGTTAAAAGGTTAAAAATTCATACAAAACCTGCTGTAAATTAAGACAAAGGTAGATTAAAATGCTTCGTTATCTGACTCTTAAATAAAGTAATGCTTTCCATAAAAAGCAAAGGTGGGCTTTTGCCTTGATGCGGAACAACGCTGGCTCTAGAATTCTGTGCAAGTCTGCACAAAGATACATTCTCTGAAAAGTGTTTCCACTTATTGTGAACTTCAATATGACCAAGTTCAAAGGCAAATCACGATAAAAACTGCCATTGTCTTAAATTCTGCAGGCTAAGAGTTTCAGATAAGCTGCGGTGAAAAGCCACGGTTGAGAAACCCAGTGAAGCACAGGGACACAGCACGGACACTTTGGGTTTGGAGTTCGAGAAAAGTGGAGTAAAAAGTTGATTTTGTGTGCAATACTTTTAGATGCTCTAGGAAGACCCAAAATCATGATAGCCGTAGCAGTCTGTGAAAAAGTCACCTACAAAAGGGGGAGACAGAGCAGAGAAAAAAAATTAGAATTCTTTTGAAAAATGGCACAGAGCGCCACATATGAAATTCATGTTTTAGATTTCTCTGCCTCTGTAACCCCCCAATGAAGGCTCCTTCTCAAGACAAGAGCTGTGTCCTGTCAGAAAGGCATATTATCCACAGGAGTTGTGCTTCACATGGCTTAAAGCAGAGAAATTTAAAATGTCTTACTTTTAAGGAACTCGGAAGTTACCCAAATTTGTGTGTTAACATTTAAAGAATTATTACACTGGGGGGATGGGGTGGGGTAAGGGAGTGGTGCCTGAACACAGTCTGACCTAATTACCAAGAAAGGGGGCATGTGCCCCTTCTAAGTCTCAGGGAGGCTGCTGACGGTGGGCAACCCTGTTCTAACTCCAGCCCAGGAGCTAAGCTGCAGCTCCTTCCCAAGCTCAGGACAGAGAAACACACACTTACTGTAGCCTGCCGTTGCCAAGTTGCCGCCGTACCCGTAACTCCCATAGCCAGCGCCTGGAAGAGAACAGGACAGGGTCACGGGTGTGGGAGACAGGCTGCCTGCCCCACTATCAGGACCACGTACACTCAAAGGAGCCTGGGACACCACACAAGCCGGGTGCACAGGACAGACAGTGGGGGACTAGGGCCTCACCAGCATTCATGTAGCCGCCATGGTTGGCGCCACCGAATCCTCGCCCTCGCCCTCGTCCACGGATGTTTCCTCCTCGTCCCCGACCACGAAGGTTTGGGGGTGGCGGCACTTCGTTGTGCATGGGACCTCCCATTCCAAAGCCAGGGTTATGTGGCTAGAAATAGCAAGGACACATTACACTGGCCCTGTCCTCAAACAACAGCGTATCCCAGCCGAAACCAGGCCACCAAGTGTCACCACGTACCTTAGCAGCAAATTTGGGCCCCCCTCTGACAGGGACAGGGACTCTCTTCTTTTTGTTTGCATCAAGGGCAAGAGGGGTGTCGGGGAAAAGCTTTTCTAGTGCAGCAAGGGCAGCATAGGCCTTTGCCACCTTTTTGTTTGATCCAGCACCTTGAAACTTCTGACCATCCACCTCAACCTGGAACGAACAGAGGAACGTCAGGGGGCTCTGAGTGCCAACGACCCCCTTGCCCAGGTCCCAGGGGCCAAGGTGCTCACCTCCATGACGAAGCGCTTGTCATGGCTGCCTCCGGTCTCAGAGATGAGCTCGTACTTGAGGCCGCGCCTCTTCTCGTTCAGTTCCATGACAGGGTTCTTGCCATGTTTGGTGAGGATTGGCCCCTGCTGTTTTACGTTCTCAGGGGAAAGAAAAAGGAAAAGCAACAAACTTAGCCACAGGCTTTCCATCTCCAGCTTTGCTCCTGGTCCTGCGCTAAGGCCACAGCCATTCAGCCTCCAGGCCTTTGCCTACTCCTGGGTGGGTACGCCCAGCAGCGGAAATGCCTCCACCTGCACCTGTTTGGAACAGCATGTCATCTACACAGATCAGTCGAGGAGGCCTGAGACACAGACTCAACTGCAGAAGCCCTGCTCTAATGTGGGGTAGAAGCCCTATCTTTTTGTGGACACTTTTAAAGGCCATTAACTGTCTCAGCTCGCAGGACACAAGGCTGCTGACTAACTCCCTTCTCAGTCCCCCCAGCACCCACCCTGGGCTCACCTCAGCAGTGGAATCTGAGGGGAAGGCAGCACTGGGGGTGGAGACAGCTTCCACCACAGGGGGAGGGGCCACCACAGCAGGCTTTGCTTCAGTCTCTTCGGCCGAGTCCTCCCCCTTGCTGGAGTCCCTGCCTTCAGCGCCGGTTGGCAGACCCATGTCCTGCAAGACCTGCAGGGGAGGAGGGGGAGCCCCCAGGACAAGTGAAGGAGGACTGGGCGTGTGTGCAGGACTACCCCATCACCCACTTGGTCTCCCTGTAAGTCTGACCTCAAGCCCAGAGTTCCCCAGCTATGTATCTAATACCGTAACTCTGACAGGGGAGCCAGCTATGTGGCAGTCTGTTTGCCTTTTGTAGGTCCTGGGACACGCCGACACATAGCCCTTCACTTCAGTTATGAAGGCCTCTGACCACGTGTGATGTGACCACACTCAGATTCCTAACCACGTCAGAGTGCGCAAGCCCTTCAGACCCTTGTGCCATCTGTACCAGGGGTTCCAATGTGCGGTGAGGGTTTTGAAAGCTGGCAGAAGGACACGGTGGCTGCGTGGGCCTACACTGCACAGGGACCCCTGGCGACTTACCTTAACAGCCACGTGCAGTTTGGCAGTCTTTTTTGATGGCCCTGAGGCTTCAAATGAATTCCCATCTACTTCAACTGACATTGTGAAGATGGG